CCACAATAAAAAATAAGCCAGGCATTTGATTGACATCTGCAGTCTTGAACAGGCATCGGAGGAGGCAGTCGTGGTGGTGAGTAATCCGGAATGGCTTTCACGTGACATTTTTCCAAAGTCTCGTTGACCAGCAGGTTGACCCACACGGTGGTCTGCAGCGGGTCTGGCTTTCCTCTGTCGCGAACGACTATGAAGAGGTGGTGCATGCCGTAGTCCTCGCCGCGCAGATGCTGGACCAGGGTGATGTTTCCCGAGTGCTGGTCAATCTGGAAGGGGCTGTGGAGAGCCGGTTTGGATGCAATAATTTGGTAAGTGATGTCCGAATTCATTCCTGAGTCCTCATCAATGGCGTAAATCTTTGTTATCATGCTTCCTGCTCGAGTAGCCGGGGATATGGTCAGACAGGAGAGGTTGCTGCTAGGAAGAAGGACCTGGGGTTGATTATCATTGACATCCTCAATAAAAATGGTCATTTTTGCTGTAGCGGAAAGGACTGGACTGCCGCCATCTACGGCTACAACCAGAAGCTCATAGCGGTCTTGCTTCTCACGGTCGACTTCACCAGTACTGCGGAGCGACCCCTGCGCCAGGTCTATGGCAAAAGGGACTTCGTCATTTAAAATACGCACATCCGCTATCCGGCCGTTCTCTCCTTCATCAGCGTCGCTTACTGTGACTTTCCCAACTTGGGAAAGTTGTGGAATGCTCTCAATCACAAAGAAATAGAAATGTGGGGTTGGAAAGACCGGTGGATTGTCATTCACATCCAGTATGTTTATGGACACAATAGCTAAGCCCTCCAGAGACGGCTCGCCGCCGTCCCGGGCCAGAACAGTCAGGTCGTATTTCTCCTGCTGCTCTCTATCCAAAGACTCTGCTGCTGAAATCACACCTGTCTCTTCATCAATTCTGAAAGGTCCTCCATTTGTAAGCCTGTACCTTACTTTGCCAAACTGCTGGCTGTCTGCGTCGCTAGCCTGGACTTTGAGCAGAAACACTCCAGGCTCGTTGTTCTCCTTGATGTCCTTTTCATAGCGTGTTTGTTCAAACTTTGGGGCGTTATCATTCACATCTTCAACCAGCACTTTGATCACTTCCCTTCTGTGTAGGCGTGTGCCATGAGGATCAGAAATAATCACTGTAACATCATACTCGCCGCACATCTCAAAATCGAGGGGTTTTGATGTTGAAAGCAAATAGCTGCCTGCTTGCGGCTTCAAAGAAAACGGCATGCTGTTTTTATCTAAGGACAGAGTACCTTTGGCAGTAGAGGTGTCTTCCAACTCCAAGAGGGCTAAGACGGTGGGGGGCTCGTTTTCCTGTAACACGATCACTTGGTGTTTATGCTCGGCGACAAACCTGATCTTTATTGACGGCTCTTGGCTCGTCACTGGCTGAATGTGTACGGTTACCTGAGTTTGCGCAGGGGGGCAAAGTGGGCTATTCGCAAAGACTTTCAACACGTGCTCCTCAGGACTGTCAACCAGCACGTCAACAGCTAAGCTAATCAGGCCTGTGTGTCCATCCAAGTGAAAGAGCGCTGTGGCCCTGTCTGAGATCTGACGGCTGAAGGAGAATGTGATCTGGGCATTTTGGCCCAGGTCTTTGTCTGTGGCTTTAAGCTGGGCCACCGCAGTGCCCTTGACTCCTAACGCTGGCACAGTGGCTGCGGTGGGACTGTCAGCATCAAACTCTGGGCAATTGTCATCAACATCGGTTACAGTTACATTGAGCTTAGCTGTAGCACTAAGTGGTACTGAACCTCCATCTACTGCTACAAGAACCAAGAAGTGGCTTTCCTGAGTTTCCCGGTCCAGTTCCCTTTGTACCACCAGCTCAAGTTCATGCCCGTCTTGTCTGATGTCAAAAAAGCCATCAGAGTCTTCTAAATGGTAACGTATCAAGCCATTATCGCCCGTATCCTTATCCTGGGCTTGGTCATCCAGTGGGAAAGCAGTCCCTATTGATGCATCTTCAGGTATGTGTAGAGGAATCTCATTCCTCTCAAAGATTGGAGCGTTGTCATTAATATCATCCACAACAATTATCATCGGCACTACCTCAGAATTAGGTCTCACGACTGCGGTGTTTGAAAAAGTACAGTCCCCATCCTGATGTGATGGACACAAGGTCTCTCTGTCTATGCGCTCTTTAGTGAACAGGTCCCCTGTGCTCTCGTCCACCCTGACGTATCTTTCATTGAGGAGCCGGTATGGAGCGGAGTAGTTCGTGCTTAGACTTCCGATCTTAACACCTGCTTCTTGCTCCTCCACGGTGATGAAGCGCAGTGCATGGCTATGGATTTGCCCAGCAGATGCCAAGAGAAGCACCAACTATAAAACAACAGAAGAGACTTACTGCTTGGAAGAAAGCGACACCCTTCTTTCCATATGAAAGTTTAACCACTCCTCTGACTCAGGAGTTAAGTGTGTAATCCTTAACCACCAAGTCAGTCTTTTTTTTTTTCTGTTGAATACGTTGTTTTACAGGCTGTATTATTGTCTTACATGTTCCAGCAGCCAGAGATTTAACATTACAACATAGAATCCCAACTAAGCTTGCAAATGCACTTTCCATGAATAAATTGGTCTTGAATGCTTAAAAAAGTTAAATATTTGTTTCGCATTTCCCAACAATGCATCAGTGAAATTAGGTGCTTAAAATCAGATAATCTTCTTCTACAGTTTAAATATATTATATTTCTTTTGCATTCATTTTATATAAGTTTTGTCATTTTGCAACCATGTTTATATTATTTACATGTATATTTCATATAAAATTGCACGATTTCTTAATATTGTATCTGTTAAACATTAATAAATTCCAAGGTTAAAGGTCCTAACACAATGGAAATGCACCGGTATAACAGGGCAGCAGATTTACGCTTAGAAAGGAACTTGCTAACAGGTTTGGCAGCAAATCTATGATTGTGGTTATTGATAAATATATTAATTCATGATTAGATCATTTTTGTTATTAACTACAGGGTTGAATAGTTATGCTAGGAAAATACATAATAAATGCATTACATCTAGCATAGCTAAAATAAAATGTATGCCTTTATTGCTGTAAAAATATTATTAGTAATCGGACACCAATTTATACCCTATTCATAGAAAGTGCCAGCACAATTCTTGGGTATTAGACTTTTTTTCCTTTAAACTTTTAGACTTTATTTGTATACACCAGTCTAATTTGTCTGCCTATTTGAAACCACCAAGTGAAAAAAATAATAATTTTGAAACACGTTAAACAACCACCTGATACGCAGAATAATACACACACCTAATACTGCAGACTGACTAATGTGGACTTTAACTCCATGTAACGCCTGACAGACTTGGCGTTCAAAGTCAAAATAATAATATTGAAGAATTTTCTTTCTGAAAATATACGAATACTAAGTAATGTAGGATGCATCACTCACCTGTAGTATAGTCCAGTTCATTAAAAAGTTTGAAACACGTTAAACACCACCTGATACGCAGAATAATACACACACCTAATACTGCAGACTGACTAATGTGGACTTTAACTCCATGTAACGCCTGACAGACTTGGCGTTCAAAGTCAAAATAATAATATTGAAGAATTTTCTTTCTGAAAATATACGAATACTAAGTAATGTAGGATGCATCACTCACCTGTAGTATAGTCCAGTTCATTATGTGGTGGTTTTGAGCTGTCCATTCTTCAAGAACATGTTGAGCTCTGCGAGCATGAGAAACGCTCGCGAGAAACCTCACCTACCTGCGTTACAGGTGAGCAGCTCGAGACTAACTCACGATATTCAAAAGGGAAAATACAGGTCTGACGGGATGGTTTTCCGGGTAAATGCATTATAATGATAGATGGGTCGTGGTGAGGTATTTTCCCCTTTCAACTCTAAGCACTCTGTAATGCTTTATAATAATATACACACGCTAAATCATAATAAGAGAGATTATATAGCATATAGTTATAGCTTTTCTTCGGAGTTGTTAGGGTTCAGTTATAGCTTTTCTGAACCACAATGAATTGGAACTATAGGATTATAAACCAAGCTGCAGTTATATTTATTATAGCTGTCATGGTCACCTTGTGATTGGACTCATGTCTCAGTGTCGCCATCACGAGGGCGCCAGTGATATTACATCGCATTTATCAAAATTACTCTTTCTTATATATAGATAGCCACATACTTTAGTACTCTATTATTATCATATGTTCTATGTTCTGTATTATTTGTTTCTTTTGTATTTAATTGTATTTCTGCAATAAAAAACTCTATACCCTAGCGTCAAATGTATTTTTTATTGAATGAATTAATAACCCTTACGAAAATTAACCATGGTTTTATTGTAGTAAAAGTGTATTAGCCTTGTATTTTGGCTTATTGATTACCATTTGTATAACCAGTTTTACTACAAAACCATGGTTAACGTGTGGTCACCATGGTTTAACTATAGTAACCATGTTTCTTTTGGTTTTATTTGTGGTAAAACCATGGTTAATTTTCGCAAAAATTAGTATGCCATATGTGTCCAATTTACAAGTTTACAAAAGGGCAGTAAATAGTACAAGAATGACAACACCCTTTATAAAAAAGTACCATAGTAACCACAGTCTCAGGTGTTATTACTATGTGTTGACATTATGCATGTTGTTACTACATTAATTGCGGTAACTTCAAATGGTAACTTCACAGCCGCTGTCATAAAAGATGACAGAAATATTATACCGGTTAATTATAATCGAACAAATAATACGGAGAAAACCATGTAACTGGCACTTTAAGTGCCATTGCATTTAGGAAATTCCTGAAGGTGCATAACTGCGCCTTTAGACCGAAGTGGTCGGAAATGTTCTTTCTCTAGTTCCGCATGTGACGTCATGTGTAGGCGTCAGGGGAATTTTTGTCTCAGGCTCTACTGTAACCACGGAGACCAAAGCCGTGTTCTGATTGGTCGGCGCATTATGCGCTGGTCGGAGTCAATGTAGCGCATCGCACTAATTTGAGAATCAGTTCACAGCTCTGTTCGCAGAGAACCGCAGGATGTCTGCAACAAACTGTTCAGGTAAACTTTCCTTTTGATAAACATTTCACATGCCACATTATTTCAGATGTGTTTTTTCTTTGTAAAAGGTGAGCAGATTAAGTGTATACCTTTTATTTATTTACAGCCACCATGTTGACATCAGTCATTATTATTAATAGTTTTAAAATGCGTTCCAAGTATTTGGCTTGTAATGCTAATAGAGGATGTGACTGGTTTTAGAGCTGGATCTGGAGCTGGGAGACTTACTGCAGGAGTTTAATGATGTTGTGAAGGAGCTGAGCACACCCCAGGCCTCTGAACATGTGCTGAGAGATGTGAAGAGACACACAGCACTGACTGATGGAGACGATTCAGACTACTGTAAGCACACTAGACACTACCACACACCTCGAACTCTTACAAAAGTTGTCACTGAATGCCAAACATTTATGAATTATATTCAATATGTTCAATCCCTTTAATCAGTTTAATGCATAATGTGTGTACAGAAATGTGGGCGACTGAGTCCTTTAGTAGACAATTTCCTCATATTTCCAAATTATAAATCACTGCTATGCAATTTGTTTCTCTATCTGAAGAAACCCATGCTTACTTGTCTAAATGAGGACAAACCATAGACTTTAATAGCTTTAATAGCTAACTATAATTAATATAGTGTTGCTTTAACCATAAAAGAAAAAGAAAAAGGTCCGATTTATGACCTTTGATTTATTTAGCTCACGTCTTTGGACAGCTTTGTCTTTTAATAAGCTATCAAAGGCTTCACTTATGTGATTTCTATCGGTCTTTGTTTTGATCCTTAAATCGATTGTGAGAAACAATGAAGGTATTAGTTAGCCTGTGATCTTAAGAAAGATATTCTTGTGATATACAGTACCTTGTGCACCTCGGCCACCCTGTAGTTCCTTTGCGTTCACATGTAAGAGGCACGCATTGATCCTAATGTATCTTTTCAGGCAGCGAGGCTTCGCTGGTAAACAGCTTGAATGCCAGTCAAGAGGAGCTCAACATCCCAAGCATAACCACAGCCCCAAAAGGTATTAACAGAACATAACAGATAGTCATCACATTTGCACATTTGCTCCATGCTTGGCTCTAAATGCTGTGTGCTATTTCTACTCATCTTATTGTAGTCTTTGTTTGTGGATTGGACTGCTTTGATGCTCCTTATTTGGCTACAGGATGCACGATAAGCATGATGGAATTGATATGATAATGTTATTAGAGGGTAAACCAGCACAGACATAAGGTGAAGATCTATATTTGCGCATCTTACTACTTCTAATTTAGTTGTATTATTATTTTAAAACCCTTTAACTGTCACCCGTCCCCTCTGTGGGACGCCTAAGTTTACTTCACTATATTACAATTAAATCTAATCATGACAAACTATATGTCGTTGGAAAGGTCTCCTAAATAGATATTTTACCAGTGTTTTTGTTAAAAGTTATGTAGGAAAAGTAATAGATAAATTTTTGACAAGAATGCACCTCAAAAATCTACATCGTAACAGGAGTTCTGACCTTTGTCACAAAAAAGTCTTCTTCGTTGCCTTTTTCTCGATCACACTTCAGAAATCATCAGAAATTAGATATCAATTGAAAACTTTAAATCTCAAAATTCATCCTTTGAAACCCATTTTAAAATCAAACATTGCATTACCATGAAAATGGTACATCAATATCATGTTACAAAATGTTTTTCGTTCATGAATTATAAAAATGTAAGTTTGGATCGTGCACTTTCAATATTACAATTAAATCCTAATCTAATCATGACAAACTATATGTCGTTGGAAAGGTCTCCTAAATAGATATTTGACCAGTGTTTTTGTTAAAAATGATGTAGGAAAAGTAATAGATAAATTTTTGACAAGAATGCACCTAAAAAATCTACATCGTAACAGGAGTTCTGACCTTTGTCACAAAAAAGTCTTCTTCGTTGCCTTTTTCTCGATCACACTTCAGAAATCATCAGAAATTAGATATCAATTGAAAACTTTAAATCTCAAAATTCATCCTTTGAAACCCATTTTAAAATCAAACATTGCATTACCATGAAAATGGTACATCAATATCATGTTACAAAATGTTTTTCGTTCATGAATTATAAAAATGTATGTTTGGATCGTGCACTTTCACGTCTATGTTCAAAAATGTGAGTGGCAGTTAAGGGGTTAATATCATGTTATTATGCTTACTACGAAGGCGTAAAATGTAGTAAATTTAGTTTTGTAAATATGAAGATACATTTCTATACCTCAATTTAATTTCAGTTTTGGCCGCGCCTATATTTGGCCATACCGTTTACATTACCTGAAAAGATATGAAATATGCCGTAAACTCCTGCTCATTCAAGGATGTGCATTTATTGTCTGGATCTGAGCAAAGGCAAAATGTGTTGAATGTGCACAGTTCAGCTGAATGATAATGTTTACCTCTTTTAACTTAATGTCAGTTAATCAAAAAACAAAACAAAACAAAGAAAACTTGGGTTACACTTTACTTGAAGGGGTGTGCATAAGACTGACATGACACCTTCATAATCACATGTCATGAATATGAAGGTTTTTTATGCATGTTTATGACAACTGTCATTAAGTGTCATTCGCTCAGTTATGTCATTTTTTATGCAAAAATGACATTGTTTGAGATGTCTTTGTTATGGGCTATGGTTAGGGGTAAGGGTAGGGGTAGGGTTAGGTTAGGATTAGGTCAAATAATGTCGTATTTGCATTAAAAATGACATAACTGAGCGAATGACACTTAATGACAGTTGTCATAAACATGCATAAAACCTCCTTCATATTCATGACGTGTGTCATGTCATGATTATGAAGGTGTCATGTCAGTCTTATGCACACCCCTTCAAGTAAAGTGTTACCAAAACTTGAATCTTGAACATGAATCTGAATGTACAAAGCAAATAGTTTGCTAAAAAAAATCAACAATGGTAAAAAAAAAAAAATCTGTCCCCACCAATGTCAAAATCAAACCTTGGTTCATTATCATTTTTAATAAAGATTTTGTTAAAGCCAGTTTGGTAAAGCCAGAGGCTCGCATTTCTTTCGGAGTGGAACCTTCCACAGGAAATGCCACGCACAGAGTCTGAAGCATTCCAGTGCACTGACATCTTTTCTCTCTCTCTCGGCTCTTTACAGCCAGGCTCGGGGATACCAGTGACCTACAGAGCTTCATTGAAAACCTGGATAGAGAGCTTGCAGGTATATAAACAGGTGGTTGGTCACATTTAAAGCAGCTGTTGCAACTCTATCTTTCGAAAGCACGGTGTGGCATAATAAGATTTGTAGAATCATTGCAAAGAGAATATTGTATTAATCTAGATCAAAAAGACAGTAAGACCAAAAGCAAACCTTATGCAAGGACATAAATGCAGAATATTCAGCCAGTCACAAGTGTGCACTCCCATAGTCCTACAGCGGTAACAATCCTCAGTATCTGAGGGAGCTACAGACTTACTTTTAGTCTCTCTATATAATCAGATGTTATTTATTAGTAGAGAATATAACAGAAAACAGTTTGCATTACAGATCAACACCAGTTATCTTGTTTTGTCACACACTGTGTGTTGGGGAAAGTTAATGCATTACAATATTGCGTTACTCCCTAAAAAAAGTAACTAATTACATTACTTAGTTACTTTGGAAAGGAAAGTAATGTGTTACGTTACTTTTTCTCATCTGGGCTGGGCTCATTCCCTTTTCAGCAATAAAAAAAAGTAAGCACAAATGTTATGTTTGTCTAAAGTCATTTTTGCTTATTATTATGGTTGAATTGGATCATCAAAGGTCAGCAGTCATCGAAGGTCAGCAGCAAAGACACTGGTTAATAAAATGGGATTAAATACATAAAGGATATTTGCGTTATTTAACATTTAATTATAGCAGGTTTGCGTCATATTCAGAGTTTGAATTTCACTGTTTTTATTCATTTTGAGGAATACTGAATCTGTTTTTGTGCGAGTGAGACGAGTAAATGCATGTTCACATTTAGTTACTTGAAAAAGTAACTCAGATATTTTCTTGTAACTTAAAAAGTAATGCGTTACTTTACTAGTTACTTCAAAAAAGTAATCTGATTAAGTAACTCAAGTTACTTGTAATGCGTTACACTCAACACCGGCGCTCAGTGATAGTCAAACAAAACCTGAATTCTGTCATGACGTTATTCTTGACAAAAACAAGTCAAATGTCCATCAGAGTGATAATGTTAATACGCCTATCGCTAAATTACTAACAAAAGGCCGGTGGTTTATCACAGCTCACTCGCAGCATGCTCCGTTATCAGCGGAGTGACAGTCATGAATAATAACTGCACATGCACCATACCTCACTCCCCTGACCTCCTAAAAAAAGTAACTAATTACATAGTTACTTTTCTTTGGAAAGTAATGCGTTAAGTTACTTTTGCGTTACTTTTTCTCATCTGGGCTGGGCTTGCTTGTTTGTTTTTAATATAAAATGCTATATTTTCGGCAAATGTAAAAGCCCTTTCAAACCAAAAGTGAAATGAATTATGGCTCAGGCTGAAGGAAATGTAATTTCACGTCTGTACAGTAGCAAATATTACAATGGTATGAACATAAAAGTTATGTTTATCTAAGGTAATTTTTGCTTATTAGTATGGTTGAACGGGATCATCGAAGGTCAGCAGCAAAGACACTGGTTAATAAAATGGGATTAAATACATAAAGGATATTTGCGTTATTTAACATTTAATTATAGCAGGTTTGCGTCATATTCAGAGTTTGAATTTCACTGTTTTTATTCATTTTGAGGAATACTGAATCTGTTTTTGTGCGAGTGAGACGAGTAAATGCATGTTCACATTTAGTTACTTGAAAAAGTAACTCAGATATTTTCTTGTAACTTAAAAAGTAATGCGTTACTTTACTAGTTACTCTAGTTACTTAATCTGATTAAGTAACTCAAGTTACTTGTAATGCGTTACACTCAACACCGGCGCTCAGTGCGCTCAGTGAAAAACCTGAATTCTGTCATGACGTTATTCTTGACAAAAACAAGTCAAATGTCCATCAGAGTGATAATGTTAATACGCCTATCGCTAAATTACTAACAAAAGGCCGGTGGTTTATCACAGCTCACTCGCAGCATGCTCCGTTATCAGCGGAGTGACAGTCATGAATAATAACTGCACATGCACCATACCTCACTCCCCTGACCTGAGCTGTCACAATCTTATCTGTCTTACAGAGATGTGAGATGACGGGACACACGTGATCAGAGAGGACTGAGCACCTGAAGAGCTGGCATTTAGCTTCCACGCATAGAAAAACACAGCTTGAAGGCCTCATTTCCCCCACTTCACTAAGAAAAAAAGCTCACGGTTTTGGAAGAATTACCAAGTTTCTCAGAAGATGTTTTATTAAAAAAATACAACATTTATATGAAAAGCACAATTCCTTGTAAGTTATGAAGATTTATTGTTAATAGCTATTTTTCACTTTTTTTTATGAAGAATGTAAAAATATCAGTGCTACCAGGTTCAAAATAATGTGTGATATTAATAATAAAGATTTTTTTAATAATAAAGGTTTTTGCATTAAACATGTATTACTCGTTTTTAATTCTTATATTAGGAAGGAAAATTGTTTTTTCTTGCTAATACAATTGTTATGTAGGGAATACCTACATTATTATTTAGGTAATTGGGTAAATGTCACAAAAAGTGCTTAATTGTCATGAAAATGGTCATGAAAAATCGTAATGGTAAATGAACTTATTTAAACACAGTGAAATATTCACCTAATTAACCATACACTCCAACATTAAATTCCTTGCAAGAGCTGCAGTTCACTAGATTTAGTTTAAGGCCCTGGTGTGTAGAGAAGAGGAAATGCATTAGACATTCTGCAGCTGATGGAAAAGGAAGTCGATCAAAACCAGCACAGTTTGTGGTATTGTCACCTTCTCGAGTTTGTTGTTTTACTGCGTATGCAATACATGGTTCCTAAAAATGATTTGAAAGTTACAATCTCACTTAAATATGCACTTCATTACATTGGGCAAACTATCAAACCAGTTGCATATTATTCTTGTTTTTGTTTTTTTTATCTAATGTGATGATTTAAAGTGTGATTTAAAGGGTTACTTCACACACAAATGACAATCTTTCATCATTTACTCACTCGTATGCCATTCCAAACCTGTATATTCCTTCTTTTGTAAAACAAATGAATAAGATATTGTTGAACTATCCCTTTAAGTGTCCAAATACTTTTAGTCTGAACTACAATTTGCCCCTTCCACTTGTCCACAGAGTACATTTTTGTCACTTTCTTTTTTTAGCAGATTGTACTCGCATATGTTATATAATGGAGCAGATGTTAGACATTATGCAACATCATGAGCGAAAGTAGCACTTCTTCTGGGCAGCAGTGTTCATGGAAAGAGGAAGTTCGGAGTCTCGTGTGGTTTGACATCAACACTGCTCCAGACTCTTATGAGAACCCTTAGTTTTACAATAAATACTCCAAGCATGTGATTATGAAGTCACTAGTGAATGTATTTAAAGAAACGGGGATTCAATCAGAAGCAGCTACAGCTTTGGAAACGACATTGTTTCAGACTAAAATATGTAATTCCATGTTTCCCTTTCAGACTGTGTTTCGAGACAGTTAAATGGTTTTCTGAAGACACTGTGTTCAGTTTGTGTCCTCTTGGGTTGTTGCTTGAGGGACCCATAATGCTCTTGGTAATAGACTCTGCTCCAAACTGACCTGAATGCTGAATGTCAAAACTGCAGTGTGAGTGGATGTGCAAGGGACGTGAGAAACAGCCGCTTTGCACCTCTTTCTTTCTTAGTTTTTTTTTTTTTTTTGGTTAACATTGATATTTACAGCCTTTCTGTGCTGGGTGTGTGAGCTGAGCAAACGATAAATGGCACTCTGTCCAGTGAAAAAGAAAAGTGTCAACAAATGTGAAAACTTGAAGCAAAATTAGAAACCATTTTCTTTTCACATACCATTTCAAACTGGTTAAAGGGGTCATATGATGCTGCTAAAAATAACATTATTTTGTGTATTTGGTGTAATGAAATGTGTTTATGCGGTTTAAAGTAAAAAAAACACATTATTTTCCACATACTGTACATTATTGTTTCTCCTCTATGCCCCGCCTTTTTGAAACGTGTCGATTTTTACAAAGCTCATCGGTCTGAAAAAGCGAGGTATGCTGTGATTGGCCAGCTATTCAGTGCGTTGTGATTGGCCGAATACCTGCATTTATTCCGAATAGTCTGCATTTGTGATTGGAGAAATGACAAACAACAAGTGCTACTCTACACTGCCCAAAAAACTCGCGTTTGAATCGTCAGTGAAAATGCTATATTTTCGGCAAATGTAAAAGCCCTTTCAAACCAAAAGTGAAATGAATTATGGCTCAGGCTGAAGGAAATGTAATTTCACGTCTGTACAGTAGCAAATATTACAATGGTATGAACATAAAAGTTATGTTTATCTAAGGTAATTTTTGCTTATTAGTATGGTTGAACGGGATCATCGAAGGTCAGCAGCAAAGACACTGGTTAATAAAATGGGATTAAATACATAAAGGATATTTGCGTTATTTAACATTTAATTATAGCAGGTTTGCGTCATATTCAGAGTTTGAATTTCACTGTTTTTATTCATTTTGAGGAATACTGAATCTGTTTTTGTGCGAGTGAGACGAGTAAATGCATGTTCACATTTAGTTACTTGAAAAAGTAACTCAGATATTTTCTTGTAACTTAAAAAGTAATGCGTTACTTTACTAGTTACTTCAAAAAAGTAATCTGATTAAGTAACTCAAGTTACTTGTAATGCGTTACACTCAACACCGGCGCTCAGTGATAGTCAAACAAAACCTGAATTCTGTCATGACGTTATTCTTGACAAAAACAAGTCAAATGTCCATCAGAGTGATAATGTTAATACGCCTATCGCTAAATTACTAACAAAAGGCCGGTGGTTTATCACAGCTCACTCGCAGCATGCTCCGTTATCAGCGGAGTGACAGTCATGAATAATAACTGCACATGCACCATACCTCACTCCCCTGACCTGAGCTGTCACAATCTTATCTGTCTTACAGAGATGTGAGATGACGGGACACACGTGATCAGAGAGGACTGAGCACCTGAAGAGCTGGCATTTAGCTTCCACGCATAGAAAAACACAGCTTGAAGGCCTCATTTCCCCCACTTCACTAAGAAAAAAAGCTCACGGTTTTGGAAGAATTACCAAGTTTCTCAGAAGATGTTTTATTAAAAAAATACAACATTTATATGAAAAGCACAATTCCTTGTAAGTTATGAAGATTTATTGTTAATAGCTATTTTTCACTTTTTTTTATGAAGAATGTAAAAATATCAGTGCTACCAGGTTCAAAATAATGTGTGATATTAATAATAAAGATTTTTTTAATAATAAAGGTTTTTGCATTAAACATGTATTACTCGTTTTTAATTCTTATATTAGGAAGGAAAATTGTTTTTTCTTGCTAATACAATTGTTATGTAGGGAATACCTACATTATTATTTAGGTAATTGGGTAAATGTCACAAAAAGTGCTTAATTGTCATGAAAATGGTCATGAAAAATCGTAATGGTAAATGAACTTATTTAAACACAGTGAAATATTCACCTAATTAACCATACACTCCAACATTAAATTCCTTGCAAGAGCTGCAGTTCACTAGATTTAGTTTAAGGCCCTGGTGTGTAGAGAAGAGGAAATGCATTAGACATTCTGCAGCTGATGGAAAAGGAAGTCGATCAAAACCAGCACAGTTTGTGGTATTGTCACCTTCTCGAGTTTGTTGTTTTACTGCGTATGCAATACATGGTTCCTAAAAATGATTTGAAAGTTACAATCTCACTTAAATATGCACTTCATTACATTGGGCAAACTATCAAACCAGTTGCATATTATTCTTGTTTTTGTTTTTTTTATCTAATGTGATGATTTAAAGTGTGATTTAAAGGGTTACTTCACACACAAATGACAATCTTTCATCATTTACTCACTCGTATGCCATTCCAAACCTGTATATTCCTTCTTTTGTAAAACAAATGAATAAGATATTGTTGAACTATCCCTTTAAGTGTCCAAATACTTTTAGTCTGAACTACAATTTGCCCCTTCCACTTGTCCACAGAGTACATTTTTGTCACTTTCTTTTTTTAGCAGATTGTACTCGCATATGTTATATAATGGAGCAGATGTTAGACATTATGCAACATCATGAGCGAAAGTAGCACTTCTTCTGGGCAGCAGTGTTCATGGAAAGAGGAAGTTCGGAGTCTCGTGTGGTTTGACATCAACACTGCTCCAGACTCTTATGAGAACCCTTAGTTTTACAATAAATACTCCAAGCATGTGATTATGAAGTCACTAGTGAATGTATTTAAAGAAACGGGGATTCAATCAGAAGCAGCTACAGCTTTGGAAACGACATTGTTTCAGACTAAAATATGTAATTCCATGTTTCCCTTTCAGACTGTGTTTCGAGACAGTTAAATGGTTTTCTGAAGACACTGTGTTCAGTTTGTGTCCTCTTGGGTTGTTGCTTGAGGGACCCATAATGCTCTTGGTAATAGACTCTGCTCCAAACTGACCTGAATGCTGAATGTCAAAACTGCAGTGTGAGTGGATGTGCAAGGGACGTGAGAAACAGCCGCTTTGCACCTCTTTCTTTCTTAGTTTTTTTTTTTTTTTTGGTTAACATTGATATTTACAGCCTTTCTGTGCTGGGTGTGTGAGCTGAGCAAACGATAAATGGCACTCTGTCCAGTGAAAAAGAAAAGTGTCAACAAATGTGAAAACTTGAAGCAAAATTAGAAACCATTTTCTTTTCACATACCATTTCAAACTGGTTAAAGGGGTCATATGATGCTGCTAAAAATAACATTATTTTGTGTATTTGGTGTAATGAAATGTGTTTATGCGGTTTAAAGTAAAAAACTTATGGTGCATTCATACAGGTTGGGCAGTATTCCTGCTGTGAGAGTATTCAAATTTCACATTTTCTCAAGAAAAACTCTTCAGAACCTTGCCATCAAAATACTGCAGGTTTCTGTATCATTTGCGCACAGTTCTGTGGTTGCACACTAGCCTGAGTGAAAAAACAAAAACAAAACAATTCTCAGTATTATTCTAGTTCGTCCCTTTAGCGTCAATACATGGGCTATTTTCACCTCTTTTTTGTCCACCAACCAAAACTTGTAAATCACATCACTTAGAAACATAATGGCACATGAGCAAACACTACTAAAAATAAAAATGGTTACTGGTTACTAGTTACATGTTGCAAGCACAATAAACTACTATACTAAGTAGTTCATACAAAGATATATGGCACTTGGTGTGCAAAGTTGTAATCTGATTCTTAGATAAACAGTTTCTGCATCCGCTCTATGAATATACAAAGAGATTTGGCCAGAATGGACGACTGACGATTTCAGCATGAATAGGCCCTCAACTGCTGTGACAACGTC